GCTCTTCGTACATATAGATTCATAAGTACAGAAAAAATATCACGAGGAATCCACTACGAAATTATACTACATTCACAGAAAGTCAGCGAGAAAGGATCTAAGGGTGAAATCACTTTGGATTACTACCAACTGAACCAAGCTAGCCATTTAAGGCAAGGAAAGAATCAATGGTTTTTCGGGCGCCAACCAAACTAGAGGATTAGGATCATTCTAGAAGCAAGCTTCACCATACCATGTAGAAAATTACGCTAAATTTGCACGTGACCTTTGATGATAAAGGATCTGCAGAAAGGCAGAGGCCAATTAAAAGAGAGTATATTATTTAGGAAGGGAAAGGTGTCATCATGTGAGATTTGTTTATCCAAAGTATGTTGATCATGATCGTCGGTTGGGATACCCCCCTTGATGTCCACTTTTGAGTAGGCAAAAAAGAAAATGAGAAAAACAGAAAAAATTTTTTCGAAAAGAGGTGAAGAAAAAAATATTTTAACAAAAAACAATACTGTTTAGACTATTTCAAAAAATTTTATGTGGATAGGGGTGTGGGAAACAAAGAGACGAATATTTTTGAAAGGTGGGGTTTTTTTGTTTGTTCACAGGCTAAGCTGCGGCCGCCGTTGAACGGGCACTTTTTTTAAGTAAAAATTCTTGGAAAAAATCTAACGAGAAAGAGTGTGAGAAAGGAATCGGAGGAATCGAATGGTAGTTGTTTCATACGAATCGGTGTAATATTGACTGAGATCGTACATCTTTTATTTTTTATTTTTTCTAAATATAAAAATCATGTAATATGACATCATTTTGATTATTTTGCGACTTTAGTAATGGTCGAAATCATTTTTACCATTTTGACCATTTCGGATATCCGAAATGATCCATTTTGACTTCACGTATAAATCGCATACTCAAAAGATTAGCTAAAATTATGGTATGGTGCTAGTCGAAATTAATTGCAGATCTACTGCATCACCTGATGTAATACTTTTTTACACTATTTCAGTATTCTGAAGGCAACCAAATAGGCGCGCACTTCATTCATATTTACTAACCAACAGGTTATAGAGAAGGAAATAGATCCTATCTTTAGGACAAATAAATTAATTGATTATAATGTCTTAAGACATATTAATTAATAGATTATAATATCTTAGGTAAAGATGGTATAGCAATTGATTTCAAATTTACAAATTGTTGTAACGTAAGCTAAAATTAGTTGCAACATATGTTGCAATATTATAAGTTACAACATATATAGATTAAAATTAATTGCAACATAAGTTGCAACATTAAAAGTTGCAACATATTAATTACAGTTTTCATCTTTAGTCCTAGAATATATTAATTAATAGATTATAATATCCTAGGCCTAAGACGTATTAGTCTAGTATAAGCAGATTGTCTTAGGATATTTTAATATATTAATATATTAAAATATCCTAAGATAATCGCTATACCTCTCTAAAAAAGGCAAACAAGAGCAATCACAAAACTTTTATATAATAAAACTTAAAATATAATTAAATTTCAATTTGATAAAAAATTCTCAAAACTTAATTTTCTTTAAAATATAATCCAAATATTATTTTTATATTTATTATAAAAATTAATAAATAAAGAAAATTATTTGTAATCATTAAGTATTATGATCAGATCATATAATATTATATTAAAAAGCTCAGGTTATGTGATCATATAATAATCTATTATACTGCATCATACTTATCATATTTCATTTTTTACTATTTAATCTGAAAACTTTTTTTTTAGAGTAACTTATTATTTATTACAGATATCACTCTCAATTTGTAATATGATATTATGATTGATTGATTTTTTTAATAAAGTAAAATCATATATAGTGATATCTAATAAAATTACCTTTCTTAATATGACGAAATCGACAAAACTGAAATGACGAAACTAGTTTTTTATTAATGACGAAATTATTTTACTTAATTACTGAAATTATATTTAACTTGATCTAAATTCTTTAAATTAAAATACATTAAAAATATAATAATTTTATATTTATTTATATAAAAATATTAAAAAGATGAAACTTTTGATGAAATTACAATTTTTCAAAAAAGAGTTTAGTCAGGTATCACTAATCATATATCATATAATCTAATGATCATAACTGTTAGTTATAGTTAAAGTAAATAATAAATAGATTTTTTATTTATATTATGAAATACTATTAATAAATTAAAAGATTATTAAAAATATTAGATTCTGAGAATTTTTTAAATCTTATTATATTTTAATCTAACATCATCAAAAATTAAAATGTAATAAAATCAAAATTTATTAGAATTTGTTTTTTCTAGCAATCTTTCTTTATATATAAAATAAAAAAAAATAAAAAAATTTTACATAATATAAAATATTAAAATATAATATAATTTAATTTAATTTAAAGATATAAATTAAAAATAAAAACATATATTTGAACTAAAACTTAAAAAAAAAATTCTTTTTTCAAACTTTTGTTATTTAAAAATTAAATTAAATTTTTGTATTATTATATTTATTTACTAGCAATTTTTATAGCTTACATTATATAATTAATTAAAAAGTTAAACATAAATTATCTATTATATATAATTTAAAAAGTTTTTTGTTAAATCATTCTGCAAAAACAAATAACTTAACCATTTCAATTAATATATAAAAGAAAAATAAATCACCTAAAATCTTTGATCTATTAAATAATAGATATAACTTAAACAGATATAAATGAAAGACTAATAAAGTAACTCGATTATAAAGATTAAAATCGTATAGGAAAAATCCGAATGTATATAAGTTTAAAGAAGATTGTTAAGAACAATCTTTGTAACAAATGAAAAAAACTATGGATTGTAAAAACTTAAGAATGTGGATCAATGAAGCAAAGCAAACAAATATATCATCAAAGTTGTTTTGTCTAACCAATAAACTCAAATCATTCATCGCAGAGCACACGAAGTTTTCATGTTGACGAGGACCATGAACCAATTGACCGGACATTCAATTCGGATACGAGGTTAAGAGGAAAATAATGTCTTCTGGCTTGTTTTCAATTAAAGTTAGTTGGTTTGTTACGAGCTAACGAGTATCTTTTATTCATCAAAGATAAAAAAAAGAAAATCACTTGTCTGACATTATACCTAAATATATATAATTTAAGAATGAAAACTTTTTTGTAAATGATATCAAGGTAACACGAAAAAATTCGAATATGATTATCATAACCAATAAAACAGCAAGATCGAAAAAAAAAAGGATGATAAATTAATGTTTTCTTTTTTCTTTTTCTTTTTTTTTCCTTTTTTTTTTTTATTTGTTCTTCCAAAGATGTTAAGATTAAATAATAGAATAGTTTCTTTATTACTACCAACTTCTCAAACACCGGGAGTGGCTACAGCAGTTTTGAAGAGCTCACCATTTCGAATTTCTTCTGCATTAATATCCAACTCACTAAAGAATTCTACAAAACTATTTTCATTAAAAGGCAATAACATCATATTAACATCTCCATATCAACGCCCTTTTTATAACGTGGAAAAAGTTGCCACGAGACAACGATCGATATTAAAACTCTTTATGAATTCTCGTAATTCCTTTCGTAATTCATTTTCCACTTTACAACCACCAAAAGATCATAATTCCTTACATTCTACAAAGAACTCTCACTTAAGAAACAATTCAACGGCATCACTTTCTTCGGCATCATCATCAACAAATAACTCTTCTACCGAATCCGAAGAAATTAGCTTGGAAGGAGGAAGAAGTGTGACAGAAAGATTTAAAATATTAACAAAGAAATATGGAATGTCAGCCATAACAGTTTATTTAATAATCTCAGCAATAGATTTAGGGTTAACATTTATTTTAATACAAATCGGTGGAGCTGATCGTGTCAAAAAAATCGAGGATTGGTTTGCAGAAACTTTTGGTGATTGGATTGTCTTGCGAAAAAATTCCTCTGAAAAAGAGGAAGATGGTCAACAAGGCATCGTTGTTACCACTGATACTGATGATGAATCTGTTATCATTAATGTTGATAAAAGATTAAAAAACACACCATCATGGGCTAGTACTTTTGTTATCGCTTATGGCATACATAAACTTTTGGTTCCACTTAGATTGGGTTTAACTGCTGCTATTACCCCTGCTCTGGTTAGAAAGTTAAAAAGAATGGGTTGGAATATTGGAGGTAAACATTTGTAAAACTCTCAACAAGGACAAGAGGGAAAGGAATGTGTGGAGATTTTTTTTTTAAAAAGATTAATTATATAATTAATAATAAAATAAATTTGCAAAAGGGCATTGATATGGGAAAGAAGTTTTTTATTTCGATTGATTTTTAAACATAAAAATTTTTTACAATTTAACTGAGCCAATCATCCATTCATATCCATAAATCCTACCAAGAAATCATTCATATGCCTTTTACTGAAAGGTAGACAACTCGTACTCTTCCTTAACAACAATAATAATTCTAAACAAATATCATCTTGATAGATAAAATGTTCTACTGTCTTATCCTTTTGCCATTGTTCCATTAACCTTAATAAAATATGATAAATTAATGATTTATTATAGTGACGTCTTATATTAGAGAATTCAAATATACCTTGTAGACGTGACATCTTGTTCTATAGTTGTACAATCAACATACAAAATCTTCATAACTATATTAAAAAATTTATTTATATTTATTTACTCATTAGATTAATTCATATATCAAATAAATAAGATAATTTACCATCACATATCTTCAAATTACTTTCAATAATACTACAATCTTCTTCAACATTTTTTGAAAATGGGCGAAAGGGTTTACTTCCTTCCAAAGCATTCATCATAATTTTCGAATCCCATCCAAATAGCCAAATCTACGATTTTTTCAAGAAAAGAAAAAGGGGCAAATTCTTTTGAATCGTTGAACAATGTAATTCATAATATATCTATATATTTATTTTTTTTTAAAAAAAAAAAATACCAAAATATAAGGTCGTCTGAACCTTTTCCCTTTAATAATAAACCTATAAGTTGCATGAGCTTTTGCCGCTTCAAGAAAATCCCCGGCAAAAAAAGCTGTAAATTTGTATTTTCGTATAATTGACCTACGACAGAGATTTTTGATTAGCCGCATGTTATCTCCTAATTAACCATCAACTCACCAAAATCGTAAATGACACTTACTCTTTAACATTAACATCCTCACTTCCTCCTAATTCAATTAAGGTCATATATTTACTAAACCTAACGGCTAATAAAATTAATTCTTCATTAGATTTACAATATAAACCTTCTCCGATAGAAGCCAAGCATCTTGAACAATTCATTGATATCCATTTCTTTGACATTCCTTTTGCCCACTACATAATGATTATTACATTTAGTTAGGGAATGTATACTCACGTAATAACATGCAAAACAATTTTAGTTTGAGAACATGTTGAAATAAATGAGCATGATTTAATTTAGGACTCGTAGTATCGACCAAATTATCCAATTTCATGATATTAGCCTTCTTTAAGTCCATTATAATCTTTATAGCATACTTATGAAATCACGCATAAAAAATTTCCTCGATTAAAATTAGGTAAAAACATAACTTACATCGATTTCCTGTGATTCCTCAACATCAACTCTCAGAACGTTCTCTCTCACATTATTAGGATGCATTAAAAAATATGTATTACCAACCAATCCAACATTTTCTTTAGCAACAATATCCCCGATTATGGCATGTTTGTAATTTTCTTGATGACACATCCAACAATCTATTAATTCTAACCAATGTTCTGATGGCATATCCAATATCTTATTTAACGTATTCTCTTTAATGCATCGTTCTTTACACATTCCACATAATATATTCTTGAGCGAAGAGATTTCTGTTGAACTAAAGGGAGATTGGTAAGTTTCACTCGTACTAATATCTCTTTTCGCAGGCCTTTTACGTACAAACGTACGTAATTTAAGTTTTATATCTATACTCTCTTCAGAGTTTGTTACTATCGGTTGTTCTGACGTTTCGATTGTTTGTACTAAAGGTACTTCGATTTTTATAGGTAAGGTTGCTTTATTTGGTGGTGGTTGTGACTCGAAAATTAATTTTAACGGATATATTCCGAATTTATATGAAGATTCATCTTTTTTGTTTGGTAAACCAACATTAACGGTCATAGACTTTACATTTGGTAATATTTCAGCAAAAATTGATAATTCATTATTTTGATTTTTATTTTCCATGGGTGTTATATAAAAAAAAGTGGACTCGTAAAAATTTTTTGTGATAATCTATTGGATAGACAAATCAAATCAAACTATATAATTGAACAGTAGAAATTCACATCTTTATTTAATAATAATAAAATGAAATTATCAAGAAATATCATAACGCGTTTTCCAAAAATGAGGTTAAATGTAAAAAAAATTTCACCATGTTATAAAAGATTGTATTCTTCATTACAACATACGAAGGATTCGAATTCATTATTTCAAGGTACATATTTTCAATTCAAAAAAAAAATCTCTTGCTTATCACAAATAATTCCATAGAAATTATTTTCGGTAGCGAATACAACAAATACTTCAGCAACAACAACAACTCCGACACCTCAACTACATCCAAACATAAATCATGACAAAATACTTACCATAGACGGTATACCCTACGAACTAGACGAGCAGACAAACGTAACACCCACAGTCCTTTCAAAACTTTTTCGTAAACTTCACTTACAACCACATCACCCTCTTTTCATCCTGCGTACGCAAATCGAAAGTTATTTCCCTCATTTTTCCTATTTCAACACATTCAATCCTATCGTAACTGTCCGACAGAATTTTGATGATTTAGGATTTCCAAAGGATCATCCCGGAAGAAATAGAACTGACAGTTATTACATTAATAAACAAATCATGTTAAGGACACACACTTCGGCTCATCAATTAGAAGTTTTCAGAAAGGGGAATAACAAGTTTTTGATTAGTGCTGACGTTTATAGAAGGGATGAAATTGATTCGTCTCATTATCCCATCTTTCATCAAATGGAAGGCGCTCAAATATTTGATATGAATAATGCAGAACAAGAAACTTTTGAGGATATAAGTTATTTGACTTTACTAGATTCAACTTTAAATGTAAGAGAAGAAGTTTATGATGATACAAGAATTTCTGAAAGTAATCCCACACAATCATGTCATCCGTTGGAACAAGTTAATCCTATTATACAACATTTAAAATTCTCTTTAAATTCTTTAGTTAAAAAATTATTTATGCATCATGATGAAAATTTAAAAATTAGATGGATCGATGGTTATTTTCCTTTTACTAGTCCAAGTTGGGAAATGGAAATTTTTTTCAAAGGCAAATGGTTAGAAATTTGTGGTTGTGGTGTAATTAAACAAGATATTTTAAATAATGCTGGTATGTAAATTGCCCGAGGTTTCTTCCTTAAAAAATAAGTATATTAATAACTTTTTACATAAACAGGTCAAAATGATAAGATTGGCTGGGCATTTGGATTAGGATTAGAACGTATAGCGATGGTATTATTTGATATACCTGATATAAGATTATTTTGGTCACAAGATAAAAGATTTTTGGATCAATTTAATAATTTGAATCATAATGAAATTATAAAATTTCAACCTTTTTCAAAATTTCCTTCATGTATAAAAGATATGAGTTTTTGGTTAGATGATAATCAAGATTTTCATGAAAATAATTTTTGTGAATTAATAAGAAATATTGCCGAAGATTTAGTTGAAGATGTTAAACTGGTATGTGATAATATCACAAGAATTTATTATATTATTATTATTTTTTTTTTTATAAAAAAAAATTTTTTTTTTTTTTAGGTTGATGAATTTGTTCATCCAAAATCGAAAAAAAAAAGTTTATGCTATAGAATTAATTATAGATCTATGGATAGGTAAGAGATGATGTTTATTATTAAGCTATGTACATAAACTAATTAATGTTATTTGTTTGTTAGAAATGTTACAAATGAAGAAATTAACAAGATACAAGAAAAAGTTAGAATAGATGTTGAAGAAAAATTGAATGTTACTTTGCGATAATTAGACAAATATATATATCTCTCTCGTCAATGTTAAGTGAAGTCAAGCTGGGGTTGCTCCTTCCAACCCCACGAACATCATTACATTTTTAAAATGATATTTTAAAGAAAAAATCGGAAACCTTTCATACTAAAATAATGATAATGTATTATTATATTAGTGTTTAATTTAAAAATTTAAAATAATAATTATAAGTAACACATTATAAAGAATTTACCATGTCTTAATACCATCATATTAATAAATTTCTCACGTTCATCAATTGTATTTTCATATTGTTTCAATTTTTCTTCTTTAACCGATTCATTCAAATTATTATAAACCTTTGTAATGGCCATTAGTTGATCAGATATGAATCTTAAAGTATCCGGCAAGGGAGAAACTATAAATAATAATAATAATATTATTTTTATTTTTACAATTGAATGGAAAATATCCTTCGCTTTATAATAAATACCATTATGAGCCTTTGCTTGAGTTCGTAGAAATGATATTTTATTTTCTAATCGTTTCAGTTTTTCAATTCGTGATTCATCTTTAGCCAATTGTTTTTTCAGCTTGAGGTTAAAGGCTTTTGCCTGCGAAATTCCATTTTAAATATTTTAAATACAATCATAAATAAAATTTTTCGATAATATTAAATTAAGATGAATATTTACAGCCATAATTTTTTTCCGTAATAATTCGATTTCTTTATCAACTCCCTCATCCATATTTTCGTCCACATCGAAATTCACACCCTATGTAAGATCTCGTGTCATTAGAAATAATTTTTTTTAAAAAAAGTATAAATTAAATAATTATATAAATATATATATATATATACAAACCTCATTATGCTTTAATACAACTGTAACATTTTCGCGTATGGTAAAAATATTTTGTAACGCGTAGATTTCAAATTTTTCGAAATATTTATCAACCAAATTTTCCAACAACGTTTCAACTTGGTGTGTACCCTACAAAAAAATTAATCAATCACAAAAAGGTATTTTGACAAGATTAGATTTAAAATTACAAACATACCAATTCAACTTCTTCCTTATTTTTCAGTTCAGAGTTAACAAAACTTTCAATTCCGGCAATTATTAGATAAATTAATTCGTTAATAGAATTAACTATATCATCTACAAAACTTATTGGTAAAAAACCAAAATGTTCTGTTATAATTTCATTTTTTATTGCAATATCATTTAAACATGTTATTTGACTATGTTGTCGTTTTTCTTGTTTGGACATATTTGAGTTTGTGTCGAAGAAAAGGTATGTTAAGTGAATTTGCGATGTTCGCGTTTTTTTTTTTTTAAAAAAAAAACACGAATTATTAATGATCATGTGATTCCATCAAAAAATGACCGGCATTATGACATTCGGCTGGAATTAATTATGTTGTTCATGTGACATATTTTCGCTAATCGAGAAAATAAAAAAGTTATATTATGCGAATCAAAATTGATTGGTTATTTTTAGAAATTAAGAAGCATAATTATATTTGTATTCTAATCTAAAATCTAAAAGATTCCAAATTATGAGCAAGATACAGTACATGGTTCGATAATGCAATAAACGCTATTACGTATACGAAACTGGCAGATGCGCAATTCCTCTCTGCTAAACATTTTTATTTTCTGGTGCAAAGTTTCCCACCCAAACCACCCGCATTCACGCTTACATGTTAAGGGAATTCTATACAATAATGCATCAGATAGAATGAATGCACCAACATATTAAATCAATTTGTGGACCATAAACCATTTCTTCCCTGCAAATGTGAAGTCATTATTCTCATCCAGCTTTATACTTAACCCCAGACTTTGAATTACGCCCGATTTGAAATTATATAGTAAAATGTAATTAAGTTTTTTGGTTTAAGTCTACACAAGATAGTAATCCTTTAGCACCTTTCATTCGGACATAAAGTATTCTTGTATTTCAAATTAGACGAATATGAAAACTTTTCAGTGTTCCGCATTTTTTTAACTGTACGATTTAATACTTCTTCGACGACATGAACAATATTCTTCAAAGTATAAATATATATATATATTCACGAAAATGTTTAAAATTATCGGTTTGGAAATAAAAAGGAAATTTAATATTACTAGAGATTTGCTAGGAAAAAGGGTTCCATAAACCCTTTTTCCTAGTAAACCTCCCACCGATAGCTGAGATAATCGCTAACAAAAAATTAAGCCAGGACGCGTTAACTAAATTTATTATGACTCATTTATCTGCAACGGGTGGCTCTAACCAAAAATGAAGCTCGCTTACCTCCGCGAATTTCTTTAAGTAACCTTGAGATTTTTTTAGTTGGTCCAAGAGACACTCCAGCATTACATTAATAAGATTTTCATTACCATCGACTTGTTGACTACTCATAAAAATTTTTAAAAAAAAATGGAACAAATAATAATTTTAAACTTTAATTTCGAAAGTAAAAAAAAAATCGAATTTATTATTATCACGTAAAAAAAATATTTGATCTAAAGTTAAAATTCTTTTATTAAAAATAAAATAAAATAATTTAAAATTTTTTAATTTAAAAAATAAAAATTAGATTGCTTTAAAAAACGCCAGTTTCTTTTGGTTGATAAAAATATATTTGTTCATTAGTATTCATACAACGCATGATTTACCAATAATAATTAAATAATTTTTATTAAAATATTATTCATTATTCATCTATAGTCTAATTAAAGAAAGATATGTTAGTAGTGAATTTACTAATAGATTATAGTAAAAAATAGGGATGTTAAACGGTCCCAAATGATTGTAAACAAATAGAGAAATTACGAGTAAAAAAATTGTAATAATAATTTTATGAATAACTTTTAAAAGAAATATGGTGCAAACGGCTTAGTCGCATCAAATGATTTTTAAGAATTTCAAAACGTAAAGGAATTTTTTTTAAACATATAATCATTAAAAAAAAATACGTTATTAAATAGTTTTTGATATGGTCTTTAATATTACGTATTTTTTATTTTTATTTTATTATAAAAGTTTTTTGTAGTTAGGATTTTTTTAACGTTAACTTTAATAATAATAGCGGGATTTTCAGCACCTCCGTCATCACGTGCACGAAATATGATTGGTACGTATAAAGCACATGACAGAATATGATTGGTTAATCGCGATTCAATAATTTTATTTACATGTCACCAAATTCTTCCAAAACATTTGCAGGAACACGACGATGAGACTTATACCGCTTAACCGCAAAGACAGCCATCTTACCCGAAAGTCCAAATTCATAAGCACTTATGTAATGTGCAGAACGACGTGCAAATCGACAAATTTTTGTTAGACTAACGAATTCTAATGCACGCGATACAACCTCCTTAAGGTCTTTGAATGTATAATTGCAATGGAGACGTGAATACCGCTTTGCTTCTGCCCAAAAGAACTCGATATAATTAAGTTCACAGTGGAACTTCGGGTAGAACATACACATATGCCCTGCTGTCTCAATAACCTAAAAGATAAGTATTTTAAAAAAATGTTGTTAAATTGAATAATTAACTTATTAACTGTAGCTTACCTCTTGATATATGTATCTTTTGTGATGCAAAGTCAGGTTGGGCAGAAAGGATACGTGATGTGCAATAGTCTAGATTAATTGGATCAGGATTATGTTACGTACACGCGCTACATTTTCTTTTCAAACCCGGTATCTATAAACTACACTCTTCAAGAACTCGTCGAATACCTTTGGACTTTATACCATCAGCATCTGTGAATGTCATGATATGAGGTGAACCATCAGGCATTCTACCATTACGAAGAAGTGGTTGTTTGCCGCCATCTTTCATGTTCATTCTTGAAACCACCAATGCATCATCAGCAAATGCATTGTGATTGCAACTGTTATCAAATATAAGCAGTGCAATTTTTTTCGGGTGAGTACGTTCAAATATTGAAATAACCCGCTCTTTTACCTAGTTAACAACATCTTTATTTGTCCACCAGCCATCAAGACTTGTACCAGGATACATTGTAATGCAAGCTTCAGTATAAACAAGCCGCTCACTATCAGGAAGCAAATTGTTAGCGGAACAATCCTCTTCTAAAAGCCAAAGTCATCTAATAGACTCACAGAGAAGGTCACTTATGTGAATACTAAGGCTTTGTGACTTGCGACGAAGTCTATTCTCATCTGCTGGACCCCAAGCTTTGACAATATCATCATTGGCATAAAAGATTGATTCATCATGGGTAACTGGAACAATCTCAGAAATACCATGGGGAAGTACAGGTAAGATGATTTAGTTCAAATTATTGCCTTCGTAAGTAGCAATTTGTTTTCATAATTCTGCTCATTGTTGCAAAAATTGACTTCTATCTGCAACTACATCTTCACGTTCATGACCATCAAAGTAAATGTTCTTTGAGTGGTTTTTATATTGCCAGCTAAGAATATGTAGCCATTCACGTGTAGTTGAATGTGAGATACTTGTCTTTTTTTCTATTTCAAGGGCAGGGATAATCTCATCCTCGATGAATTTTACGAAATCAGCAACATTCAACTTGAATTTATACGCACGTAGATATTAAGTAACTCGCAATTTAACATCTTCATGCAAAAGAAGAGATCTGATTTTTGCATAACGTTCGCGATTAGATGTAGCAATCATGCCTTTATTAAACTATTGGTTCGCCCAGGAGCAGATAAGCTGCGCTTGCTATAGACCTTTGTTCAAGCTTTAGGCAAGAAGATTACTTGCATCCATCTTGCTGTATCCTTGGTTCTGGACTAAATGGAGAAATTGACTTACCATTTGAAGCCGCAAATCATCATTCTTTTTTTTAATAATAAATCCAGAGATTCTAAAGTGAATTCGTTATTATCATTATCATCATTATCTGTATTAGGCTCAGCAGCTTCATTTGTTGAAAATATTTCAGTAATTTTCTTAGAACCCGAAGCTGCTTTTCGCCAATATGCCCTCTTGTTGCGTAATGTTAACTTTGCATCACCATTATATACTGGCCCACGTAAATTTACAGCCCATATATGTGACTTTGCACTTTTGATCAATTGTTCTAATATATTTGGTTTCCATGCTTGCATTTCATCCGTAATTTCTTCACTCTCAAAACACGTTTCCTCACCCTCTATCCAAAAAGTACCAAACCATGATTCATCAAACTCATCCAGTTCAGCATCTGATGGTTCAAATACTACTTCTTCAGAACTTTTTGCTTACTTCTAACATTTCTTGATAGCTTCTCGAGACTGTCTAGTTCGTTTATTTGATTTCGGCATTCTAATTCTATTAAATTGAAATATAGTGTTAAAAAAAGTTATTGCAAATGATGTAAAATGACGTGAGATTTCGCAATTTAACTACCATCACGTGATTATATGTTGATCACGTGTTATACTTTTGACCAATGAAATTGTGAATTTAATATAGAAATGATCGGCAAAATTTTCAGCGGTGGCTTAGCCATTTGATGTGACTAAGCCGTTTGCACCATATGAACTTTGAAATCGACAATTTTTATGGGACCGCTAAGGTGGGACCCGGTCCTTTCTAAGTTTCAAAAATTAAGATTCTGGGTTCCCGCGTAAGTTTAATATTTATTTTAATAAATATTCAATTAATAAATTATCATTAGAAAATAAAAAATAACACCAATAAAATAAAAATCTTTTCTAGATCTGGCAAAATTTATTGGGATTTTTAGGACCGTTTAGGACAGTTTAACATCCCTAGTAAAAAAGATAAAATAAGCAAAGCATTATATTAAGTTTATAATTACCGCTACCATACCATTACGGGATTTCCTTCTAGAAACAAACTTTTAATCCAAATAACAAAGTTATACCCCAAAGCACTTCAATTTTTTTTACCTTCATTTGAACATATTATTTATTATCAAGATGTTTTTATAGTTCTTATTAAAAAGCAGCTTAGCTTTAATAGTCATATGTTTTAGGGAAAACTGGCAAAATGGTAGTTCAAAAATTGAACCAGTCAATTGGATCATAAAGATCAAATCCACATTATATTATAATGTAATTTTTTATATAATGCTAAATTTTATTTATACTGAATTTAGAATCAGTTTTATTGTAATTTATTTTGTATTTTTTTTTATAAATCAGATTTGGCAAATTAATTATAAAACTTATATAATTTATTGAATAAATTGAATAATTATTCTAAAAGTCTAATGGTAATTTATCAATTGTTCAGTACAAACTTTAAAAGACAATGATAATTTTAACCTTTAATTAATAAACTAATAATCCTTTTGAAATTAAAAATCTTATAAAATAAATTAAAAAAAAAAAGATATTTTTATTTAAACTACAAATTAAAAAAATATTTAAATTTAAAAAGTATGATATATTTAGGTGTCCAGGCGCAGCAATGTCTGGCGCAGTGTAAGCTAAAAATTTCCTATAGGATGTTATGTGCGAAAACTAACATTTTACGGATCAAAAACTATAATCGCAAAGTTAAAAATTCAACCCTTACAACCCGAAAACACGAAGTTCAAAGAAAACGATACTTCTTTTTTAAATAGCTTTTATTTTTCTTTAAGAAACATTTATAAAAATTTTAACGTTTGACCTCAAATACAACACCATCAGTTGCATTGCATCCCACTGCTACCCCCCATGGCACGCCTAGTCTAAAACGAGAATCTTTCAAATAATCCCCGAGTGGCCATAACAAAAGTTCCATAAAATCCCATTTAAATACACGACCGTAACAGTCCAGAAAAAGGAGTCCACAATAAACCTCCCCAATGATGATGATATGATCGAAACCATACCATTTAACATATTCCATATAATCAACAAGATCTTCTGGAGGTCTTTCATTCTGGATTTCAATACCGATAGAAGATGCAACACGGGAGCGATCAAATTCACATGCGATCTTTTCAACTATCATTAGATTTTTTTCACCCCCATGCAATTCATCAACTTCGCCACCCATTGGCACTTGAGACAAGGAGGTACGATCCTCTGATTCCTTATCAAAATCGTCCGGGTGTACAAATGTACAGGATTTTTTCTGAATTTCTGTCGTCCATGTAGTGCCCTCCAAGGTTCCGATTCGGCACAGTTTCCCCAAGGATGACTGCATTTCATCGATTCGCACTTTGTTAGGACAATATTCTTCTGACACCATTTCAATGCTGGGAACATTTTTACTCTCGATTCTGCTGCCGTCTTGTTGTTTTGGAATATTATCGCCCCCATTTGGTTTCTTTGTTGTCCGTTTAGTGTCCTTCCTATCTTCCCAGTACGGATCGAGGCCCCGAACATGAATTTTATGATCTTCATTTTCCGTCGTTTCTGACAATTCTTCTTTCGAGATTTTTTTGTTGAAATCGTTATGTTTATTGTGGTCGGGAGACCTTCCACAACTGTTTCCATCATAGTTAACTTGTCGGCCAAAAGAGCCAATTTCTCGAGAAGGAATACTTTTTTGACTTGAAAATTCTTCTTTCTGAAAAGCTGAAGTTGACTCAGTACGTAGTACGTCCATAAAAGACATACCGCGTCCCACACTGTTATGATTAATATTGATCGACAGCGAGGTGGGGTCACCATCCTTCCCGTGGGACCGAACGGTATTACGGTTCCTTGGGTCCTACATAAAGTATGATATGTTAAAAACATCCATTTTTTTTCTTTTTGAAATGGAAAAAAACTAAGATACTTGAAAGGTACTACGAATTCTACTATCAACTTTTTCATCCATACTTTTTGTAAGTTGTTTAGCCATGACCAAGCGTAAAAACTTAAAACAATATTATTTGACCATATCAGTACAACAAATGGTAAGGCTGAGTTATTCAAGACTTACTTTTGTATGGTCCTGGGAATATCTTCCATTTAAAACGAGTTGTGTAACGGACCAGTATGCTCGTGAAAAATGATGTCAATAAACTTAATTTCGAGTCACACAATCGAGAGGAATCTTTACATTGCGATATTCAGAAGACGTGTGATTATGAGATTGAACCTTTTTAGGATGCATTACACAATTCCTAAAGTATTTTGACGTCATCCCAATTATTTGGAAAAATGCGTCAAGTTCTAATCCTTGCAAGAAAAATGGTCGGTATTCTATTATAGGTTTTTCATTAAAAAATCCCAAGACTATTTTGATTCTCGCCCAACTTACTGATCTGAAATATATTGGTGGGATAAAATACAGATACTGTGGTACATATCGATATTAAAATCTAGCATATCCATGGATTAATTGCGAGCTACATAAACACCACTTTTCGCCCCCTTTCGCCTAGTCTATCACCCAAAATACCATTATAACTATTGCACTAACGCAGATCCCAATATTAATTCCATAATAATTCTTATTTGCGCCTTAGTGATCTTTCAATTATATTTGGTTTTCTGGTGGTATATGCGAAAATCGCCAAGATCGAAAATCGAAACTAAAATCGATTAAAATTTTCAAACTCGATTAATCGGCAAAAATCGATTACACAAAATAAATAAAAATAGATAAAAGTAGTAGATCTTGTTCTAATTAAACGAAACATTCTTTTTAGCAATATGGCTACAACTACACGTGTTAAACAAAGAAAGATTGAAGCTTTAGAAGCAGAAAAACAACAACTATTAGAAATTCAGAATGAAACTGTTGATTATCAGGATTCTGAAGATGAAGAATATATTCCTAATACACCAAGTGAAGAATTCAAATCCTATAGTAGTAAATTTTCTAATCATTCATTGATTGTGAATGATATTAATATTGAGAAAGAAAGTTTAGTATCAGCAAAACAGAAGCCATCAAGACCAAAAAAAATGCTTTGTATGGAAATTTTTTTCTGAACCAGAAAATGATTATGTAATATGTCAAGTAGCAAATTGTAAAGCAAAACTCAAATATTGTAAAAGTTTAATCCAATTTGTAATTGGAACTGATCAACCATTATCAATTGTTAAAAAACCTGACTTTATTAAATATTTATATGATTTAAATCCTAAATAAAAATTATTGTGTACAAAAACATTAAAGAAACATATTGACAATATTTACTATTTTGCAAATTCTAAAATTGAACTAGAACTTTCATGCAATGCTAATGATGTGAGTCTTACTCTTGATTCTTGTACTCGTCAACCTTACCTTGGTGTTACAATTCATTGGGTTGATAAAAACTTTTATCTATGTAAATTTTTGCTTAATATGAAAGAATTTCCTTATTCATATGATGCATTCACAATTGCTGAAGAAATTAATAATATTATTTATAGTTATCATTTAGAATTCAAGATTATAGCAATTATTACTAATAATGAAAGTAATGTTAAATCAGCTATAGAATAACTTGATATTTGTAAAAGAATTTCATATTTTGCATATACGCTTCAATTAAGTATACTTAAAGAATTAGAAAAACTATCACAATTAACATTTAAATATAAGGAATTAATTCACTTTCTTTTTGGAGACAAAAAAAGACAACAATTAAAAAAAACACAAGCCTATTAGACAACAGGAAAGAGAAACTACAGTTGAAAATTCAGTTCAAGATGAATTGGATGATAAAAATTCTATCATTGATGTTGTTAAATCTAACAATACATGATAGAATTCAACATATTATGCTTGTAAAAGATTGCTTTTACTTAAATCTGCTATTATTACATTTAAAAAAATATTATTGCAAGATATAAACAATAAAAATCAAAGAGAAGGAGAGTTATTAGAAGAAATTTTACCTATAACTAATGAATGGAAAGTTATTAAAGAACTTTCTGAATTATTAAGTCCTTTTGAAATGGCTATATAATTTTTAAGTGGATAATAATATCCTACTTTTTAGTCTAATTTATACAACTATACTATCCTTAAAAAATCCACTTTTAACAGATTTCAATCATTTCAAATCTAGTGAAACAAAACTTGTAAGAGATGAGATTTAAGAGAATTTGTTAATTAGATGGGATTATTAAAAAACATAGGAATATATATAGCATTTTATGATTCGCATTTTAAAGATTTATATTTTCTTGATCAAGTATGTATTTATTTTTTTAAAAATAAAATATTTAAACTTTATTTATTTATTTATTTTATTTAAATATTCAAAAGACCAATCTATTAAAGAACTACATGTTAAATATCAAATTTCTATAACTTCTTTTGATATAAAACTAATTTTCAATGCCTATAACTTTAAGTTCTTCTGTTATAAGCATTTTATTTATAAAAAAGAATAATACAATTCAAACAGTTAAGAAAGATGAATTTACAAAATATCTTAATAAAGAAACTTGAATAATATGATCATTTTGAATGGTAAAGAGTTAATAAAATTCATTATCTATTGTAGTTACCATAACTATACATGAAGTCAAAATAGATCATTTTAGATATCCGAAATGGTCGAAATGATCAAAATTTTTTTTTTTGATACTTTTACTAGACATACGCTGATGGTAAAGTTTAGCTACATATCATTCAACAGAATAATATGACTTACAATATATAATTACCACTATAACCCCTTTGGTATATTACAACCCAGTGTGAATTTGCGTTAAACATAGATGAATGGGTGTTATTACTGAGTAGACTGCCAAACTACTAAACCTTATGATAGAGTAGAGTACTTTGGTATCTGTTATCATTCGCATTCATTACAACTACTAAAAAGAAGATCAAAAACAACCTAAAATGATAGCCTACATCATAGTTGTCTCGTCATACATCAAAATCATCCCAAGGATCGAACTCAGACCTTCAAACCCTAGTTGTGATATAAGCATCATGTAGAAAGACAGTGCAATATCAACCACCTATAACCTGCGACTATTGTTCAATCCAAGTTATATAATGCTTACCATTGATTCTACTCTCACAAGTATCCTTTATAAATGATGTGACACTTGTTCATTACAGATCAGCTTCTTATTATAGGTTCTAAACTCAATCAGTTCACTATACTTCAAGTTACTTACCACTATTACCTGTTGTCAGGGTGATGTATAAACAAAGTGACCTTACACAGCTTATGCTATGAAAGCTACCATCCTTCATATAAACAACTATCAAATAGTCTACAAATTTGTGATCTTCAATGTATATAGTTTATACATATCCTATGAACTTCATTTCCAGAATTGAACTGATAAATCCTATAGTAAATTAATATCATAATATGCCTTAGCTAGGGTTGAACTAGGATCTATAGCAATGTAACCTATAATAGGATCTCAGTTGTTACCAACTAAGATATGGCTACCAGTCCCTGTCAAAATCATTTTGACTATTAGAGGTGAAAAGTCAAAATGGTCGAAATAATATCATATCACATGATTTTTATATACAGAAAAAACAAAAAAAAACAAAAGATGTACGTTCTCGATCAATATCACTTCAATTTGTATGAAACAACTATCATCTGATTTTCGTGACTAGACGAATCCAATGAGTTAACATTCATAATTTTGGATCATCTAATCTTGAGATAATTGCAATTGTATTATCAGCTGAAATTATGAATCAATAAATTCTACTTTAAATAAAAAAGTCCAGATTTTGAAATTCAATCACAAATATCTCGAGATAGTATGATCCAAAATTAATGAATGTTAGTCCATTGGATTCGTCTAGTCACGAGAAATCGAATGGTAGTTGTTTTATATGAATCAAAGCGATATTGATTGAGATCATACATTTTTTTTGTTTTTTCTATATATAAAAAATCATGTAATATAACATAATTTCAACCATTTTGACTTTTTATTTTGACTTTGATCTCCAAAAACATTTCAAATTTTGGGTTTCCATTTCGACTTTATATATAGCTATAACCCTTGTTTTACAAATGTATAGTATTTTTGAGTCCAATAAGCTTCAACATAGCTTGTATCTTCTTGATTGTTTCTGCTATTCGTCATCAAGAGAATTTATCTTACAAATTAATTTATAATTGCTAAGAATCCTTTTCTTCACTTTGAGTGATAATTTGTCTTATAATTTTCATTATAATGTTATTGTTATTTAACTTTCTGTCTGTTATTCCTTATCTTTCTTTAATTATTACACATCTTCTCTTTATCTTTCTATTATTCTTATTATTAGTTTAAGCTTTTCAAATCTCACATAATTTCAGTAGCGTCAGCATCAATAGACCATCAGCATTATATATACAGTTGACCCTCTATATAGTCACCTCCTATATAATCACATTCCTTCTTTAGTCACATTATAATTCTGCCCAAATTTTTAAATAAGAAAATATTTTATAATCACAATAATATATAAAAATATAATCACATCAATTTTTAGTCTCATTTTATAATGAATGTAAGAAAATCGCCTCCTATATAATCACATCAAATTATATCCCTTTATATAATCACAGTAAATCATATCTATAATAATTTTATTTTACAAATAGCATCTAAAATATCTAAGAATAAAAAGAGTATGAATTCTGTCAATACCGCTCTGTTTCTCATGAATAAACTACTATTCGAATCCTTGAAACTAGACGAATCCAATGAATCAATAAACATCGATTTCGGATTATCCAATCACGAGATAATCACGATTGAATTATTGGCCGAAATTATAATTCAATAAATTCTACTTAAAGGAACCTGATTTTAACATTCAATCGCGAATATCTCGTGATCGGCTGATCATAATTCGATGTGAATTAGCTCATTAGATTCGTCAAGTTTCGAGGATTCGAATGGCAGTTTTGTCATGAAAAACGGAGTGGTATTGACCGAAAT